ATGCATTAAAACGCTTTAATATTATTTTAAATGTTGAATGAACGCCTCCCCAACTCTAGTTTAAACAGATTTAAACTTTTAATATTTTCTATTGCCAAGTGTTTAAATTAAATATTAACATAAAATATCATRGACATTATTTTTTTACATTGCATGATACATTTATTTTCCAACCGGTAATAACAGTTATATCGTCATTAATTAATAAAATTGAGTACAACTAGGTTACTGCAGTTATAATAACACGGTTTTTGTGATGTTCTAAAAAATAATAATAGAATTATGTAATTTTCCGTAAAACGCGTAATGATTTCCACTGTTTTCAGGTTTTTTTTAAAATCGTATTCTATTTCATTCGGTTATGGAGTATATGAGTATTATATATACTGACAAACAAATACAAATGGGATTCTGTACGAAACAAATATATACCGATTGGCGATTGCGTACCCGGCCGAGAACGGATTTTCGAAAAGCAATAGCTGTTGGATAATAATACACGACATATATACATATACTTACACTAGAACACACGTTGTATTGTATTGCGTATGAAGAGTAATTTAACTGAAGCCATGGTTTTTCATGAAAAGCGGGACTGGAAACGCCGCACCTAYAATATGTGCTCGGGAAAATGGTCCGAGGAAACGACTGCAATCCATTACGTAGAGAACCCCTCTGCGTGCCGGTGCTGCTGCTGTGTAGTTCGAGACCCGAAGAAAAATTATTTACCGAGAATTTCGTGATTTAAGAGAAAAATTATTTTTAACGCGTGTTCGTTACCTACATATTATATTATCTATTATACCTAAATGTGCGCGGTTGGTGGTTGTTACCATCGTCGTTTCGCCAGAAAATAGCTGTCGATATATATATATTGTATTTAGTTATAATATAGGTTAGGTTGGATGGATTATACCTATACGAATATTTTTACTATTATTTTTTTTAGCGATTAAAACCGTATAAACATAGGCACAAATCACTCAAAAAGTTTTAGAGGCAAAACTGTAACGGACTTAATATTCTCGTTAAATACTGATACTTCTCCTTATATCAGTTAAATTTGATAGGTATCTCTGTAAATAAAATGTATTGAAGATTTAAATCAATATTATATATAGGGGTGTGATGGTGTGAATTTGTAGGAAAATCTATTTTTAGATTATTGTTAAACATAACTTTCTTGACTCAGACTTTAAATTAAATACAAACAAAATCAATCAAGAATTTGTTTTGTTTTTTTTTTAAATTGTTTTGAATCTTAGGTCGTTTTAAGCATTTTTTAGCCAATTTTTCATCCTTTATTACATACTTTTTTGATATTTTTACACTAGCCTACTCATTAAAAACTTTTTACTCGTCTTGTAAGGTATTTTCACTGCATTAAACTAGCCATTATTATAAATTATAATAATGTATGCCAATCAAATTATGTTTTATAATATGTGTAATGAAATTTTCATATTAAAAATGTATAATTAAAAAAATTTAATAAAATAAAAATAAAAAAATCATTTCACCCTCAAAAATATTTAGTTAAAATTTTTTTTAATTTAGAAGTTCGTTATAATAATATTATGAAAGTTTCATTGTTATTATACCTGGAATAAGTTATAACACAGGACATCTATTAAGCACTACCTTTCCATATCTCTTTCTTTGTGCATAATTGTTATGTCCAATAGATTATCTTGACCCATGGTAGAGGCATGTATTCATGATTTTTAGTTATAATTTAAGATAATCACGAGATTYGGGGTGCTAGCATTAAAATTAAGGGTGCYAAGCACTCTWAGCACCCCTGTAATTTGCGCCAATGCGTATACATGTGTATTGTGTATAGGTAGGTACTGGATTATTCTTTTAACAGTAAACACTCATTATCTCATAATAATATAATATATCAACGTATTTAAAAAAAAATCAATTCCTTGAAGTAATATTTAAACAAAACTTTTGAATAAAAAATTGTTTAATTCCATATTATCCTGATGCGATTTTTCTGAAAATTGTGATTTAATACAACCGTATTTCTGACGAGTTATAAATAAGTACTTATTTTTAAAGTTATAATGTGTTGACGGTTGATAGATTGGCAAAGTTGTACTTCGTAAAACGTTGATCCGCTACTTCASTCATCAAAACTTTTAGTACTTATTAGTTATATTACTAATTAACTACTTATTTAAAACTCAATATTCATTTATTTGAATTCCCAGAAATAAATATTTTGCTCCGGAAAATTAAATTTATACAAATATATATGTTTGATTATAATTTCATTTAAAAACTAAAAAAATAAGAAAAAACGGCATTAATAAAAGAAGATATATTGTTTTCTTTAAATGACTTCAATTTATGCAAAAAAAATAATATTTCTAAAAACGATAATATTAAATCAGGATTTTCGATAAAAATTATCACCCTGTATAAGGTATGTATGAATTCTGGTAATTGTTCACGTTTCGATGAATCATCCAAAAAGTTGAATGTGAACAGACTTTTTTCCGTGACATAACTTTCTATTGTTGATGAGAATTCTTATTTCGAATTTTGTTATTTTGATGTTTTTAGTTTTTTAATAACAAATCGTTATTTYTAAATTGCCATTCATGCTTCAACAATGTTCGCCGAAGAGTTAAAAGTGATTAATTTCAAAAAGTAGCTAAACCGTAAAAATGACACTGCTTCACTTCTAAGTGATAGATTCTAATCTAAAATAGTTATGAGTTTTTTTTTTTTTTATGGAGAAAGAAAATTTACAATCTGTATGCACTAATTATGTTATGGGTTTATAGGAGTGTATTGTAATGTCACTGAAATTTGTCACATAAGAAATTATATTAAAACATTATGCACACATATGATCAAAATTAAAAATAAACGAGATAGAAAAAYTAAATAGGCGACTTGGATTCACGACATCTAAGCGTATTGTAATACAACATAATAAATATAATTCCATTTTATACACTGCATTTTTGTTGCATTTATACTTACTTTTTAGGCTCACTAAACACTACAATTAGTAATAAAAAAAAATGTTTTAACTGATATAATGGTCTGTTAGCTTTAAAAAAAATATTTCCTTGTTTATTTTATTTTGGTTAGCCAGCAAAATTGAAAAAAAAATATGTAAAAGTTACTTAATAATTCTATCGTTCATTATATTATATTATTATGTACATATTTATTGTTATATATAATAAAWAATAAATCATTAATAGAAAGATTATGTTTCTTATATTATAATTATATAATTATATGTGTGTATAAGAATTTGCTAAATATTATTATGTCAAGAAAAGAATGTATAGTGTATTCACTATTATATACAGCATTTAATAATTTCTAATTTTAAAACCGGTACCTATAATCATATTAAAATTTAGGTGATCTTATTCTATTCATAATAATATTATAACGAGTAACTTGTAACTTTGATAGTTTGTATAATATTTCACATTAATGATGTCGAGTAAAATTAACTGATCGCATATTTGTATTGGTATTAAAAACGTATTACGTTACTGTGTTWTTAATTAAATTGAAATAATTCACAAAATCATAAAATATTAAAAAATTTATCGTCAGCATAGTTCATTCATTTTGATGGTTTTTATGATTATCGTCGGCTAATAGAAAACATGTAGATACTATACTATTATAAGCAAGTTTTTTTTAAACGATAAGTTTAACGTGCTTGTATTATAGTTTTATATAAACTAGGATTACCTATAACTGATAAGTAAAAATATGATATTACATTTCACATTTCACATATTACTGATTTATTATTTGTCATTGCAGTAATTATTACACATTGGATCTGAATAATTTGAAAAACACATTATACTAACTATTTTTTTTACTATTATTGTATAAGAACGCTGATGGCTGATCTCATGATATGAAATAATAACACTAAAATCATTGACCCTTTGCCTAAAGTATTTAGGATATTATATGATTCTATTATGACTTCAATATCGCTATCACCCGTCATATTAAAAAAAAAAAATCATATTTTTAGTTACGTATAGGTTGGTTCTAATAGTAATGACATTTTGATAAATTAATGATAGTAATATATTATTATAAAGTAGATCTTAAGTTGAATAAAAAAAATAAGACATCTTGTACAAAAATAAAAAWAAATGTTTTTATTAAAAATACAATAAAATATTATATAATAGTGTATAAACGTAATAAAAATTTAAAATATAATATATTATCGTACTATATGTTTTTGTTCACATATAAAGATAATGTATTTATTGTAAAAATATAGTACATAATTAACAAAAAAAATTCAAACACAAATATTATTATATTTTCCATATTAAAACATATTTTGCAATTGGCATCCAAGTATATTAAATACCTGGTTTGGTATGATAATATTGTGACGGCACAACTTTCGAGATCTTTTCACTTTTAAAGAAGAACATATTCTAAAAATTATTCTCATATTATGCTCCGATCACAAAATAATGTAAACTAAACATAAATACAAATCTTTACATAATAACATTGTATAAGTGTAATATAGGAAGTTACCATACTTATACACATAACAGACGCAAACCGGTAACTTTGGGCTCGAGTGTGACTAGAATGAGACGTAAGTATAATTAATATCCACTGCTTCCGTGATGATAGTCGTGTTCTTCATGGTGTTCCTGGTGTTCGTAGTGGTGTTCGGGCTGGTAAGT